GGTCGGCATTTCTCAAGTTCATGGGGATCTCTAAGGACATGCCATTGTTAAGAGCGTGGGATAGTACTCATACTGATGTTAGGCATTTCGTCCATCACACCGAGTCCGACACCCACAGCATCCTTTTGGCTTCTCTTGTTGATCCGCAAGGGGGAACAGACTCTAGTGGTTCGACGGGAACGGGCGTACCCTTGGTACATTACATCTCTCTGGACCATGATGCCAAGGCAGTTGTCCTAGCCTGTCGAGGTACTTTGGGGTTTGAGGATGTTCTCGCTGATATGACTTGTGACTACGACGTCTTGACTTGGCGCGGCCGAGGCCACAAAGTGCACAAAGGTGTTCATGCTTCAGCTCGTCGTCTCTTGTATGGCGGCGATAGGCGCGTGCTTCTTACACTTCGTGAGGCGCTATTGGAGTTTCCAGACTATGGTCTTGTACTATGTGGCCATTCTCTTGGGGGTGCAGTAACAGCGCTACTTGGGGTCATGCTTTCCGAGCCAAACCCAACTGGCACCGGGTTTGTGACGGCCATCAATGCACCTGAAAGAACAGTCGGCGATGATCAGCTTGATGGGCTACTTCCTATTCACTCCACACTACCCTCAAGGCGTCCTATTCACGTCTATGCATATGGACCTCCCAGTACAATGTCAGCATCTCTTCGTAAGCGGACCCGTGGCCTTATAACTACCATAGTTCATGGAAACGATATTGTTCCATACCTCTCCCTGGGAGTCCTTCATGACTTTCAGGCAGTTGCGCTCGCTTTCAAGAACGACCAACAACAGGCCAAAACGGAGATTCGTCAAAGAATATGGAAAGCCTTCCAGACTGGCGTGGCAGATAAATGGTATGGAGGCCTGCCCTCGGTGCCGTCTGGAGATACGTCCAAATGGGGGCATTCGGTCCTTCAAGGCCTGAGAGCTGGCATGACGAACCGGAAACTTGTACCACCCGGAGAAGTATTTACCATAGAGACTCAGAGAGTCTTGAGGCGCGATGCATTTTTGTTGCCTGAAGAAGACCATATTGGCAGGCCAGCACAAAGAATCGTGTTGAAATACGTCAAGGATGTCGAGGAGCGTTTTAAAGAGTTGAGATTCGGGACGAGCATGTTGGTCGATCACAACCCTGCGAGATATGAAGAAGCATTGAATAAGCTTCGTCTTGGTGTTGTTTGAGCAAGAAAGACTTATTCTGATGAACGACGATAATGCTTCAGATTTTGCAATAGTTTCTGCGGTTCATGATGAGATAAGTTGGTACCGTTTGTTCGTTTCTATTTACATCAATTGCTTAAACATCTATTTGGTTTTCCTCTCTTTCCCAATGGACTAGTCGGCTGTAGTGGTAATGATCTTGCCATCGTCATCGTAAAATATCTCTTTGGCTTTGACTGATCTCAAGTGATCGACGCCCTTGCTCAACTCACAGTCATGGTAGAAGAGGTAGGTCTTGCCCTTGAACTCGACAATCGAGTGATGTGTCGTCCATCCCAGCACAGGCTCCAGAATTCGGCCTCCATAGGTGAAGGGTCCAAGAGGACTGTCACCGATGGCGAAGCAAAGGAAGTGTGTGTCTCCTGTAGAGTACGAGAAGTAGTATTTACCATTCCTCTTGTGAACCCACGCTGCTTCGAAGAAACGTCGGTCGTGGTCGTCTCCTAGAATGGGCTTGCCTGTCTCGGGGGCAAGGATCTGGATTTCCTGAACATCACCTACGAATTGGTGCATGTCGTCGCTGAGCTTGGCAACTCTTGGTCCTTGGGCGGGCACACCTTCGCCGCTGACTTCCTTAGGACCCTGCCACTCAGGATCAAAGATATCGTTGCCCTTTTGGTAGCATTGCAGTTGTCCACCCCAGAGACCTCCGAAGTAGAGATATCCCTGTCCATCGTCATCCACAAAGCTTGCGGGGTCGATGCTGTAGCTACCCTTGATAGGCTCTGGGTCCGGGGTGAAAGGACCCTCTGGCTTGTCGCCTACCGCAACACCAATTCGAAAAATCCCCTGCTTATCTCGTGCGGGGAAATAGAGGAAGTATTTGCCGTCCTTTTCAGCGGCATCAGGAGCCCAGAGTTGCTTGGACACCCAGGGAATGTCTTCTGTTTTCAGGACAACACCATGGTCAGTGACCTCGGCGGGCGGGTCTAGGCTCTCAGTGCTAAAGACATGGTAATCGGCCATATCATACTGATCGCCATTGTCGTTGAACTTGATATCAGTCTCACGATCGTGAGAGGGATAGACATAGATCTTTCCATTGAAGACATGTGCTGAGGGGTCAGCACTGTAGATATTGGTGATGAGGGGCGCCATAATGATGGATGAGTAAAGAGGAGAGGGCTGTATTGGTCTGGTTAGGGAGCTGCAGACCGAAAATGGTCAAGAGTAGACGGCCTTTAATAAGTGAATAATAACTCATTGTATGATATGGATAATTAACCCCGCGTTAGCTTGTAAGTCTGATATGAGGCTCATGTCATTAATTTATCCAGCCACACCATGTAATTACCCGGGTTGAGTTCCACACATTTGTTATGATGAACTTGACGAACAAGAACCAAGCACCAAGACATGAACTTCCGTAGGTATCGACCTATGGAGACATATGCCTGGGGTCGGAGAATGTGGTTTGATGGCAACGGGGTGACGGCTAAATGAACCGGTAAAAATTTACAATAATCTCACCAATTCGCTCGGAGGTGTAGTGTTTGTCAGGACATTCTACCAAATTGTCGTCAATGTTGGCGTTGTTCTTTATGCTGTCTGATATGTATAATACAACCTTGCCTCATTGATCCTGACATTGCCATTTAGGCAAAATACTAACCAAAATGCCGGTGCGATGCGCCAAAATGCGGGCTTAAGCCAGCTTCAGGGTAAGTGGCAATAAGGGCGGCAATGTTGTGACATTGTTATTTTCGACGTATAATTCGTTGGGTAAAATAGGGAGGGTCTCGGATTTGTTGTCATAATAAAATCGCCAAATCGCAAAAATACGGGCTACTGGCCAGCCCAGGGTTGGGATGTTAAGCCTAAAAGTCCTGAACGCCAGTCTCGCCCTGCCGTCTTGCTGCCTGTAACGATGGTTCATCCTCGACTGTCCAGCTTGGTTCTTCATCGTCGAACCACGCATCTTGAGCGTCTCGTCTGAGCATGGTATCGAGATCTTCATCAGTGTCGATTGGCCTATAGTCGACATCCTCGTCCAGGCCATGGACGAAGCGCTCTTCAAGGAAGGCATGCCATAAGAGTATACCATTAGCCTTGTCAGCGGCTGGCTTCTCCCAAGGATGCTCAAGATCGCTAATTAAATTTTCAACTCCGTCGCCTTCCTTGAGCTGTGTGAGTTTAGATTCCCCTCGTTGCAAATCAGCCTCCAGCGTCCGGCCATAGCCTTTTGCTTTACCCTCAGCCTCACGCTCCGAAGCTGTGTGAAACCTCTTGACTAGCCGCTCATATAGCACAGGATCTGGGCGCAAAGTCAGGTTGGGAGTCAGGGATAGTCGAGTTGTACGGCTTTACCAGCGAGCTCATGCTCAAGGTTCTCAAAGTAAGAGGGATGCCGAGCGAGATACTCTCGCCTTCGATTCTGCGCTTGGATCTGCGCAGTCCGAGCTGGAGATTTAGGTCCTCTAGGGACGGGCTTATCAGGCGAGCGCTCGCCTTGGAGTATTGATATTATAGGAGCCATGGCGATGTGTTTGTAATGAGTAATGATGTTGAGACACTTCTGTTTCTGGTGGGTGGGTAAACGAGAGGGAGCTGATCGAAGTTAGTGGTTAGTTAATGACAAACAAAAAGACAACAGCACACTGGCCGCACCTAACATCGGTACATACCTTGATACCTCAGCACCAACATGAAATTTATGTTAGGCCAGCTACATAATTCTCTCTCCCCTTCCATCTTCACAAACCAATAGAGAGCCGTCTTCTAATGTTTTCTAGATACCTTCAAGGTAAGTACTAGATACTTCTCTTTGCAATATCAACAATAAATCCACTAGCAACCAATCCGCTAATAACAGAGTCAGGTGGTATCACGGTGGGCAGTCATGGGTGGTGCCACAGTTATCATGTACTAGACTGAACTGGCGACTGGCAGCTTGTTAAGGCGTTGCATTGCAGCTAGCACTCATTGTTATTATGAGTTGTGACACAAATTTGGGAGTGGATGCGATCCAGAAACATCTGTCTTTGACGTGGCCGATTCAAACTGACAACAGCATCCGGAAATCAGACTCAGGCATTAAAAGGAACAGGGGGGGCTATCTTTAAAGAAAACAATCAAAACCATAAACTACCTATTGACTGTTTCTGACAGGCAAGACGCTGGTCCAGACGGAAATAAGTTGAGATTGACTTGGATACCCCCTGTCAATTGTAGACGCTCGGATGGCATCTGAATGGACGCAAACACTCCATGTGGGATGGATGCAATGAGCTGTGCATTGCAAGTTCCAGGGCACTGCTGACTCGGCTGAAATTACCATCATATCGAGCCCAAAGCTTGCTTGGGAGATATCCGAAGGGGAGCTTGGGGATCCCATCAACACTGCAACGGCGGATCTGGCCTGGCCTGGCACTGGCATCCTTCAATCATTTCCTACCTTTGATTAATATGACGAGCATCCTCTTCTGTCGCCGACTTGCTTCTGACTGGTATTCATTCCCCTTTTTTAAACCCATAACAGCCTTGCGTCAATGCCCTACCCGAAGGAGCCCTTGCTCATCGATAATATTGCGAGACTGGGTACGGGTCATTTTATTCCAGTTTTCATTACCTTCGCTCATTTAATCTTTTTCATTGTTTTTGTCCATCTTGCATTTGTCTATTTTTACTTCCTACCTTTCAATTCTTCGCCATAATCGTTGGGTTCATCGGTATCGGTCGGTGTCTTACTCTCCCTGCTTCATCGCCACTTTCGAGGTCCATCCAACTCCACGTTTAAGCCGCGTCCCATCAACATAGGATGCCCATGTCGTCCTCATAATGGGAGCTACCGATATTGCCTCGCGCCTTCGAGCCAAATTTACGAAGCGAAGACACTCGACAGCAGGTTCTCAAGCATCTTCGAACCAGAGCGTTACCGACACCTCATCGTCGTTCGGAAGCCGTCAAGTCGGAGATCGTGATCAGGCTCGGGCTCGGTCTCGCCAAAATGGAGATGGAGATCGTTCATCCCGCGCCGTGAGTAATTCAAGGGGCACCCTTAGTAGCCGACGTGGTATGACAGCGACAACCGATGACTCGCAACGACAACGAGAAGATAGCGACGAGTTCGCAAAGATCGAGATCTCTCGCCGAGTATCAGGAGCAGACGCAGCAAACTCCAATTCAGACTCAGCAGAAAATACATCCTCGGAGACAGATACTGAGGCGCCCGGAGCGGTTCCACCCGCTAAAGACCATCCCACAGCGAGAGCTGCAGCACTGAAACACTCGACCCCCCCTGTAGACCAGGAGGGCCTTGGCGAAGAGCCTGCTACAGCCGCCACTAGCTCCAGCTCCAACTCTAGCTTGAGCGACCAGCACCAGCACCAGCCTCCGCCACAACCAAAACCTCAAATCAATCCACCACCGTTGATCTCCCCTTCACTACATCCACAAGAACAGCCGTCACCATCGCGGCCACGTCAGGCAAGCTCGAACCTCGACCGAATTCACGAGGACGCACAGGATTCGGATTCTGAATCACCTACTGCGCGCCCCAAACCTGTCACGAGTTTAGACTTTAATGCTGCCCCTGTGCTTGCTGGACACAATGACGACGACCCGTTGAGTCCAGACCAAGCTCCCAATTCCCCCAGATCTGCCGCGTTTGCGCCTTTGGCAGCGGCTACCTCGACGACTTTTGTCGCTCCATCTCCTGGTCTTCCGCCATCAGGAGTTCTTTCGGTCCCTGACTCTCCAACAGCGCGACCAGCCCCGCCCCCAAGACGACAGAGCTTGCTATCGAACCGCCAGACGACCTTGATCAACACACTCCTTTCGAACCAATCCACGCAAGAACCTAGCAGAACTCAAACTCACACGTACGCGCCCATAAACGGAAATATGGTGACCCGTAAGATTTGGGTCAAACGACCCCATGCTTCACCAACCCTTGTTACTGTCAACGAAGACGACCTTGTTGACGACGTCCGTGACATGATTTTACGTAAATATTCAAACTCCCTCGGTCGAAGCTTCGACTCTCCCGATATAAATATCCGCATTATACCTCGAGACCAACATTCAGAACGCATCCTCAACCCTGAGGAGCCCATGGGCAGGACGCTAGACGCTTATTACCCAGGCGGACAAACAGTTGAAGAAGCTCTTGTAATCGATATCCCCCGACGTGCGCCAAAGGCTTCCCCACGCCCTGTCGTACCAGCGTATGTTGGCAATGTATACTACAGCGAAGACGGCCGGCCTACTGAAACAAGCGATGGCTACTTTCCCTCAGTGGCTGTGGATGCTCATCCTGGCGCCGTTGGCTCGCCACATCTCCCGGTGGCAGTACCCGCGCACGGCAATCCTCCAGGCCATCACTCGATTGCAGTGCTGGGGACTGGTCATATCCCTCATATCCCGTCGCCTGGTAGATCACGCACATACCAAACCCGTCCGGAACGTCCCAAATTAGGCCGTACCCACACGGCATCACCGACTCTGATACCTAACAATTCATCCGTATCTTTGGCTGCCGCTGCCGCTGCGAAGCATCCGAGCCACGGTACGCAACACTTCAACCCGAGGCTACCACATTCACGAACTCATTCAAATTCTTCAGATGCCCCTGGTATGCCGCCCGCTGCCCCTCCCCTACCGACGCCGCCCGCACCAGAGCCGTTAATAGCACATGTCTCGACACCACCTATTAGGCCATCTTCACCCCGACCCACAGCCAAACCCAAGAAGAGCAAAAAATCCGAGCATCCAAACCTGCCGCCAGGCATGCTCAACGGTGGTGTACCTCCCATTAATGTTCTAATCGTCGAAGATAACCCGATCAACCTCAAGTTGCTAGAGGCTTTCGTCAAGCGCCTTAAAGTGCGATGGTCAACCGCCATGAACGGACGCGATGCCGTGAAAAAGTGGAGGAGTGGCGGATTTCATTTGGTTTTGATGGATATTCAGCTCCCAGTCATGAACGGACTCGATGCGACTCGCGAGATCCGTAGGTTAGAACGAGTCAACTCTATTGGAGTATTTTCTTCGTCTCCTGATGGCGAAATAACGACAGAAAATCCCGACGAGATTGACGAGAAAGATCGCCTGGACAACACTTCCCTATTTAAGAGCCCCGTAATCATCGTCGCTTTGACTGCCAGTTCATTGCAGAGTGACCGACATGAAGCTTTAGCCGCGGGCTGCAACGACTTCTTGACCAAGGTGTGTTATTCCTACCACTATGCTAGCACATTGACACGTTTGACTGACTTGAATGTAGCCTGTCAACTTCGTTTGGCTTGAACGCAAGGTCATGGAATGGGGCTGTATGCAGGCTCTTATTGACTTTGATGGCTGGCGTAAGTGGAAGGAAATTTCCCAAGAAGCCGAGGAGAATGAGGCGGCAAAGAAGGCAGCAGTTGCAGCAGCCAAGGCAAAGTCGAAAAAGAATCGTCTTTCCATGACTAAGCCTGGCTGATTACCTCAATTTTAACCGATACCATGATGTCAAATGCCTGGTTCAATGTAGGAGAAGTCGAAGATACACCATGGTACACTTTCCGTTGGAGACAGCAGCAAACATAAGCTGGCTCGGCGATCTATCTATCTGCTTGCTACCCAAAGATTTTAGCACGGAATTAATGTTGGTTATGTATTTCATGGCTGTTAGATGCTGGGCGAGAAAGGAGTTGTCCAATGCTTACAAGCATGGTGGCGCAAGTAACAAACACATACGGATGCCAACGTTTATAATGTTATACCAAGGTTTCAATATTTTAAGCCCCAGAACGTCATATGGCTTCACACGCCAATCTGCAAGCGTCTAGGAAGATTTCACTTCCAGCAAAAGAGTGGTTGATATGTCGAAGACTTGACCACAAGTCCAAGAATTATCCACTAAGATAGACTACCAGATTGTCCAGGTAGTCTACCCTGACAAAAACTAGCTCACATATTTCGGTTTGTAGTGATGTGGGCCTACCCCACTACCGGAACATTTGGAAACTCCGAACAGCTGAAAAATTGCTACACTTGATGAACAGCTTTAAACACCTCTCAACAAGCCCAGCCTTTTCCGATTCGACATCCAGCCAATTCCAATCAATTGGTCCTGGGTCGCATGTAATGCAGCAAGCAGTCAGAGAATATCTGAAGCTGCTGTAATCATGCCTCCTCGAGTGCGCGGCGCATCGACGCCGCTGGCTGGCCTCGATGCCGCCGTTTCTATCTCCTCCAGGAGCTCCTCCTCCCCATTCCTCCGAACGTTCTCGACAACGCCATGCCGCGAGAAAATGAGCAAGGGTCGCGCGAGGATGTTCGAGTGGCTGAACAATGGCGGTGGTAGGAGTCTTGCTGAGGCTGGTACCAGCCCTAACTACCTTGGTCCTCACCAAGATCAGCCTTTTCCTCTCAACCCCTTGTTCCGAAGTCAACCTGTGCTGGCCGATCAGACACGCGAGATTATCTACGACAAGGTGATAGGCAAGGGTGAGTCGCTCAAGGCGGTGTCTGCTGAAATGCACATCGACGTGAGACGAGTTGCCGCCGTGGTGCGGTTAAAGGAGGTTGAGAAGCAATGGAAATCTGAAGTAAGTACAGCACTCAATAATCCCATTGCCTGCCCTGCTATATGATGAGACCAAACAAAATTTTCGATTAGTCTTGAAGACACCTACATGGTTATACTTTTACATACTCTGATAGCATCATCTGAACTTGGGTTTACGTCACTTTCTACGCCGGATAACAATGCTAACCTGTTTCAAGGGCAAGCAGCTGGCAGTTCCTTACGCCAAAGCAGTCATGAAAATGCTGCCCAAGACATTCTGGGACGAGGGTGCAGAGAACGTGCCACATGAGCCTATTAACGAGATTCACGTGCACAACCTCACAATGCAACAACTGTTTGCGCCCGTGTCAGAATCTCGGCATTTCACACGAGAAGATGCTGCCAAGGCCTTTCACGATAATATGCTCTCTGCAGATTCGCGATCGCCTCAGCGTGAGCTCATCAATATGGAGAGAAATGTTATCAAAGGTGTTCCTCGTCCGGAGGCTTTAGCCAAGTTCCAAGAAATCACTCAGAATCGTGAGAGTGAGATGGCCGACGAGATGCAGCGTCGTCGTTGGCGTGTAGAAGACAGGACGAGTCGAATAACGACGGATCGTTATGAGTTCCGGTTCAAGCCTATGAACACTGATGACGTGGGCCGCGATGGTCGTTCAAGAAAGGGAACCGGATGGCGCTACGGTGCACCTTTCGAGGACCGCAAGCGTGGGTTGGTCAAGATTCCTACATCGGTGCCTTAAACGGTATGATTGCGAATGGAATATGGCGAATGACTTGCCTTCGATGGTATAAATGTACAACACGAGAATCAATGCCAGATATCAAGTCGTGTATTAATTAGATATGGATCAAACAAAGGTCCAATGAAGAACAGCGCTTGAGTTTTTTTTGTTTATATGTGATCTTGATATTGATTATTGACGATTGATCTTTTGCATCATGGTATACTTAATGCTGAGGCTATTGGTTGCTATGGGGTACGATCAAGTTCTTCCGAACCTGCTCGAGATCGTCTTCTGACAGTCCGCAGTACTTGACAAGGTATTGCTCAACAGAGCCATGCTGTTTTCTTAATGTTCTCAGGGCTGCCAGCATGTTTCCAGGCTTAGCTCCAAGCATTCGTTTGGCACCTTCGGGGTTCTCTTGGAGTTCAGGGATCTTCATCACTGCTTTGAGAAGCTCGTCTCCGAAATCACCAAGTCCCACCTCTGTGAGGGCGTACTCGCGGGCGATGGTCTGATCATCTACGCCACAGATTGACAGGATAAATGCACAAATGACTCCAGTTCTGTCCTTGCCTGCCGTGCAGTGGATGAGTAAAGGTGAAGGGTCTGGCCTGGCCAGGTGTGAGATGATAGTTCTGATAGGTTTCGTTCCCGTTTCCCAGATTCCTCGATAAGCCTCCACAAAGCCTTCGCTTCCCTCAGCCGTGTAGTTCTTGAACCGTACAGCAATAGCCTCTGGGCCATAGTCTTCATCCAGGAAGACGGGAACAAAAACACGTTTCGCGCCTGGCCACTCACGAGTTCCCGTGGCGTAGCGCTCAATCTCAGTACGGGAGCGCAGATCGTAAACGTGAGAGATGTTCAGATTCTGCAGCGCTGCGATTCCGTCTTCGGTGAGACGAGACGGCTCTGCTGAGCGGAAGACGAGACCAGACTTGATCGTGTGGTCGGGGCGTGACTTAATAGGAAGTGGGCGGCCTGCGAGGTCCCGGAAGTTGGGAAGCCCGGAGATGGAGTGGAAAGGAAGACCGAGATCTGCCATTGTATTCACTGAGACAGGTTGGATTATGAGCGAAGCGTTATATGAGGTCAGAACCCAGGCAGCACTATCACTGTTCTTATTATTGTCAGTTTGAGAATAGACCGAACGTGGCAGTCTGGGGATGGAGAGTTGCGGTTGAAAGTGTGGGGCATCCATCACTCATACCTCGGCATGGGTATATCGAAGAAGTCGAGACCATGAAACTACAAAGGTACTGTACGCTCTTTTTATAGAGTGATGATCTTCTGATCTACGAAAACCAGTCTATAATGACTGAGTCAATTAAATGCTTTGTTCATCAATGAGCGAAAATAATGATGTAGCAGAACAAAGAGGCATGCAATGATAATTGTGAGTCTCGGCTTAAAGAGAGTGCAAAGTTGGATTTCTAATGAGAACAGAGACAGAGGAATAAGACGAAAACAAAAACCAACCTAGGCGCGAGCCCTATTCTAATCTTTGTCGAACCGTGGAGACAAAAGAAAACAAAAGACGATACCCTCTCCCCAAGCTACAGCAGCCGCTCGACGACAACAACACTATCCTGCAATAAACGGCCGCTCTATTGTAAGTCCCGTATGGGAGGGATGGCATATCAGCCCACAGAAAATCCTGAGCGTCTCGCCGTCTGTCATCATCTAACAAACTCCGCATCTCGGACAGCGACGGACGTTGCAGTTGGGGCAAACCGGGTCAGTGACGAGGTTAAAGAAGCCGTGGGCGCAGTTGCACTATAAATATCAGTATGCTATTATTACAGGCGGGTTCCCTGTTGCTTACACATTTCCATTGAGATTGAGAGTCAACAATCTGGCCCCGGTTGCCGGCAGAGGCTGGTGAATCGGCGCTACAACAAGTTAGAACTCGGTCAAAGAGCGAGAGAGGATATAACTATGACATACAAGTTACCACTAGCCATTTTTGTTTGTCTTTTCGAGTTGGAGAATGAGTGTTGTTTGGCTTGGATGCCCAAGTATTCGAATGCTCCTATTGCAGAGACAAATGTCTGGTTTGATAGTAAGAGAGAAGTGTGATACTGGCTTGATGATTTGGCATGTCATTGCGAAGAATCTGAACTTATATAGTTTGAATGAGAATGAGTGTTCGAGGCGTTTACAGCCTAGGGGTCTGCGGTTTGGAACTTTCTGCTGCACGAACTACATTGTAGTTGAGGAAGTCATGAAAAACAATGCCAAACTGCCCTTGCAGTAACAACAGTGCCACACAATTCCATCTTTGCGATGTTCTCTTTGCTTGAAAACGAGCTTGTTCCACGTTAGCGGTATACTAAACTCCTCGACGGTTACAGTTGTTTGACCGAGAGAGGAAGTTGATAGGATGAAAAGCAAAAAGTGGAAGACTAAGCCCCGTCTATAGTGACTTAAAATGCTTCCCTTTGCGCAACTGTGCCATACACCTCTGAGGTTTCGGAGGCCAGGCAATGATAACAGGGCCAAAGTTAAAGCAAAGCAGTCTTATATTGGGGGCGATGTTAGACCGCTAGTTGGACTGTGCCTCAATAGAATAGAACGCTAAGCAAGGTGATTAAGTTAAGCTTACGAGAGTTCCTGAATGATACAAAACAACACCCTTGCCTGGCTCGTATTTGGACGTCTTCTGCAGGCACTTTCAACTACCTGGGTCAATGCGGCTCTGCTCTGCATGCGGCTCTGCGGTATCAAATAGGGCTGGCTTTGGATGTTGAAACGGCCTAGAGGGGAAAGAATAGATATGCACTGCCACATCAAACTACTGAGACCGTGAGTGGGAGTTGACCAATCCTGAAGGTAGGGCGCTTGTTACAACTCAACTCGTGCCATAAACACAACAAACTGCGCTTCTAAAACAGAGAGCAATACAAGGTAAACAATGCTAATATGAGCATTTTGAGAATTTGCTAATTGCAATTTACAGAAATTCCTTGTATTGGAAAGATTACTTTTGTAACAAACCTCGATACCTTGTATCGGTGTACTCCGTCTGACTTGATCCTTCCAGGGTAGAATGCGGATAATGTTGCTGCCTTGAGTCTGTTAGGCAAGGCAGAGCCAGTTGAATGAAACTTACGCTCTGTTCCTAAACTAAACCTATACACGACAAGCCCAGAGCTTTAGACATAGCCCGACAAATAACAACCTGCCTGTTACAGCTTTGTAGTCAGACAAGAACAACAACAAAATTATATATATTCACCTGGTGCTGTGGAGACGCTGAAATTACTAGACTAAATCACAGAAATGCAAAATGTCAGTCAACTCCATAAAAGTTGAAACAACAAGATGCTAATCACATTGGACAAGGTAAACAGCAGAAGCGGGACAACCCGGCTTCGGTGCTCCCATGCACGATCAGGGGTCACGAAGCACTAAAACAAGGCTAACTCAAGCTACGTCATACCTCCATTGGTGGTGAATCACGACAATCTGGGTAGGTAAATTAAAAGAAGAAAATTTGTTAAAAACTTTGGTTGATCTTGGCCTTGCCTGTTTTGAACTGGGCTGGCATTGAGTGCATGACGGCAGAGGCTTTCCACTTAGCTGCAGGTATTAATTAACCAGCGGTCTACCTTTCACCAAAATTTGGGAACTTTCTTGATGGCCGAAGTGACGTTCTGCAATAAGCCTTCGTACTTGCTAAAGTACTCCAACTCACTACATACCTCCTAAAGACTACATAAAATATATCTCCTTTACCACCCTCATCCCCTTCACTCCTGATACGCAACCACCCGAAGATAACATCAACTGCCTGGAGCTCATTTGTACCTCCCCCAAAACGATCGAATTGAAACGGCGATCATGGGTGTCAAAGATCTAGCTATCAGCTACGTGGTATTCACCGTCATTCATTTCTTCCTCTTTGCCCTTGCTCTGGCAACCTGTGGTCTATATGGCACCGACGTCCATCATGCGAACCAGCAGGGCAAGTACTCCGACTCGAAATGGGTAAGTAATTGAATTCATTTGTGTCATTGTGTGACCCGACACAATGCAGTGCTGACAAGAGTGCCAATGCGCAGGTCTACGCCGTGGTAGTTGGTAGTATTTCTGCTGTGACGTGTGTCCTCTACTTCGTTCCCTTTGTCCTGCGTATCGCCGGTGTCTTTGTTCCGGTATGGGACTTTATTCTCTTCGTTCTCTGGATCGCCCTTTTTGGCGTGTTCGGCAAGGTGAGTTGACATCAATCAGCCCCCCCCCCCCCGGTGTTTACTACAGACGGCTCACGGCTGACTCCAACATCGCAGATGTATATCAACGAGGACGCTGAGGGTGATGGAGACGTCAGACGCATGAAGAACGCTGTCTGGGTTGATCTCGCCAGTGCCCTCCTCTGGTTCATCGCAGCATTGGGGGCTTTCGGATACTGGTGGAAGCATCGCGACCATAGATCGCGCTTTACTGGTCGCGCTCACGTCTAATCAAATATCGGGCCCAGATATGCATGTTAACGCCCCCTAATAAGGAGAAGGATGAACCAAGCGTGGTCCGTACACGGTGTAAGTCACGACTTGAGATAAGAGGTACCTTGTTCAGAAACAACGACGATAATGGAAAGGAAGGAAGGAAGGAAGCCTGCCGGTCAGGCCAGTGGACTGCCAAGCTACGGCACGATTCTGATACTGTTGACTGTTCTGTTCTGCCTTGTTCTCTTTCATGTTTTCACTTGAGGAAAGGCTGCGTGGTTCCTGAAATAATAATAGCTATACGGTACTGAACTTAATCCCATTGTTATCACGCGAATCGAGTGTATATATCAGCAGTTGAGCAATGTAACCATTTGCAGCAGCCTGCCGCAAGGCGTACAACCGACCTATGGTTCGATCTACCAATGATTGTCGCCCAAGTGAAAACTGTCTCGCCAATTAATTGCCCAGTGAGTCACCGCAAGTTTCATGTGAAATCATCACGGGGTTGTGTCGCCAATTCTACCCGTAGGTGTGCAGGCCTGCAGGTCGCGTTTGCGCCAAGACGAGTGATATCCGAGATAGCCTGAGGTACAAGACAATGATAGCATGGTGCAATACGCCGCAACTTCAATATCGCACCATCGCGGCGCAGGATGTTTGGATGTTGAACCTACCAGACCAAGACACACAGGCAAAGAGGGGTCAAGCGTCGATCATGGACAGCTTTTTGCCCCCAAGACTCTATTGAAGTGATGTGACGATGACGGCTCACAATCAAGAAGGGGTCTTTTTCAAGGGTCCGGCGTTTGAGTGGTTGCTCTGCCGCTCTGACCTTGGTTCTTGGGTGTGATAACAGTCTTGACCCATTCGGGATTGTGAAAGGAAGGGATGGCAAAGCGGCGCTTGTGAGCATGCCAAGAAGCTAAGTCACTTTTCTTCGACGCCATGACGTCGATCAGATACCTGATAAAAGCTCCATGTGGGGGCCGCTTGTTAGAGAGCCCGTTTGTTTTCGGTACGGTCCAAGGATATTCTTTGTTGACCTGGAGCACATAGCAAGAGGAGGGAGAATATGTAACAGTGCAATGCAATACAATGCAATGCACCATAGGTAGTTACTGTAAGCGATTGCCATGTTCATCCTCACCCCCAGAAAATGGTAAGTTGAAAAATGCGGAATAGCACGTGGAAATATTCTATGATATTGGTATATTGTTCGCTCAATGAGGACATTGAATCGTAGGTATGTAAGAATGAAAGAGCAACACCGATACTTGTACGAACAAGGAGGAACCACAATTGGTAGTAACTATTATCAGAAATACGAATTGTGAGCAAATGCCATCTCTCTTTGGTTCATCAAATTTCTTTGCATGGGCCAGGTGCCTACCTACCTAGGTACCTATTGGGTGCCTGAAAACCCGACCGCATATTCGCAGGAACAAAAACAAATTACCTAATAAGAGATAACTCTAGTGGCATAAACGGACTGTCTTAGTGGGTGATTTCGTCTCGTATATCCGTACTCTCTGTAGCCAAGTCTTTTCTTTGCTATCAGGCCAATACACCATCGCGGAATCGGATCAAGTCACCGTCGAAAATCGTCATCGCCCAAAGCCCTTGGCCACGTAGGGTCCTCAAAGGGTCCCTACAGCAAATCTCAGGGACTGACATGCTGCCGCCTGTTCTGTGTACCTACTCCTACTAGTCAGTCACGGCGTCTGGATGTTGGCCAGGGGTTCTCATTTGTCCCTTTGACAGGTGTTGTCTGTTCCATCTGACTCTTTCTCGCTTGGCCAAGTCAATCTAAGCTTGGTATATTCGTTTGCGTTGGTGGCCTGGGGCTCACAGGTATCTCTTGGCACATATGCTAATACGGAGGACTCGGTAAAAGAGAATAGAAAGTACTCTCCTCGCACACAAATCATGACAAAACAGTTACCTGTCAAAAGTCCTACCCACATGGTTGACCTCTAGAGGGCACTGCACTGTACCCAAAAGCGGGTTCTGGTGTTGAAAACATAGAGCCAGGCCTGACATTAGGAGGTAAGCAAGCCGCTTTGCAGTGTGTCGTAGAACGTCGCCGAGATCCACCAAAACCTTCGCCTTGCCCTGGCCCTGGACTACCTAAGGTAAATGTTTGACTGCGGTTTTGCGTTTTGGGCTCACGTCCCGACGCTGCTCGCTTCAATCTCTCCAGGGCCGATTAGTGGAAGTCTTGCTATTCCCACTTTTCGGGTCAGTTTGTTGATTGGGATTATGTGATGGATGGAAGGGGATGCCTACCTACTAGGGAGAGGCAAGATCAACCAAATCAAGAGTGACTCGCTTGCGATAACAAAACCGTTTCGGGACCCTTTGATCTTCATTTCTTAGCAATCCTTTATTTCTCAACCCAAAGAAAGGCACAAGATTTGGAAAGTAGTTGCTACCTACTAACCTTCATATAATCGGGGGCCTGTGATTGCCATTTCCATCTTGACGCCTCCGTCACTTCCTTCAATTCCAGTTCTCACTCTAGCGGCCAGGGCTGCCCTCCTCTTCCTCTTCCTCTTCCTCTTCCTCTTCCTCTCTTGTGCCTGTGGGCATTCCAACAACTACTTCGCACAACACAAAAGCCGGCTCTCTTGGCTTTTTATTGATTTGCGACACCCACTGCCCCTCACTGCAAATCATCCATTCATCCATCGACCACCGATTGTCGCCTGCCCACCTGCCCACGACTCTTCACTATCCGCACGATCTCCTGACTTTCTCGGAAACTGTTCATATATATGCACCGGCGTTGGCGCTTACTGCACAATTTGGATTGTCTGATCATCAGTCAGACGAATACGCATCCTCCGAAAGGCCGGGCATTCAATCTCCAGACATCGAATCACGGCTACGACAAAATGGCCAGCTTCGCCAGATCAATCAAATCCCCTTACCTCTCGCCGCGCATGCGACCTTCAATGTCGGGACGCACCATGTCTGCAAACTCTGACCGCTCAAACAATAACTCGCCCAACAGTCCCCGATCTGATGATCTTGGTGATTTTAATCTGTCTGGACGCAACACTCCAACAATTCACCATCACTCCAGGCCAAGTCGGGGACGAGACGGGTTTTTTGATGGCGAAGACATTTCTCGGACTTCCTATTTCACTGGTAAGTTTATTCGAATTGGCTGGAATGCATATCCCTCCTTTGACCCCTGATTGCCCATCACTATCCACCCCACCTCCTCTCATTGATCTTCTATCGCCTGCGCTCAAGTGAGTGTTCTCAATCTGTTTGCGGCCGGACGTCGGGGTCAGCCTCCGGCCGATAATCCCGAGCGGAGGCGGGCATCGCTGCGTTGGACCCGGCACCTGGCACCTCCAAAGCGAAACACGTCCTCTCCACAAACTGGTTCAACGCCACAAAATCGTTTAGTCGGGACCCAGTATCCCTTGACACATGGCATAAGCTCTGCAGCAGCCCAGCCCAGTTCGCTTTCTGTACACCACCAGCCGTGTACAACGGATCGATGCCAGTGTGGAAGTTAAGTGTGTTCGTTCCTTGGGGAAAAATTGACCCATTCGAGAGCCGCCACAACGCTGCCGTTCCACGCTGCGGTGCATCAAACATATTTTTCAACCAATGGTGCATGTCATGGTTGACTGGCGCAAAGCGCGGGGCGGGATGAGGTCTCGGGAGGGACGCTCCCGCACCACCGTTTTGAAGATTCCCATCCCATTCATCTCCATTTTCATTTCCCCATGTTTATCCACAACAAATAGCGCTGGGTCAGGTCGACTTTTTCCTGTCTGGCTAGTTTTCGACCCCTCTGCACCTCGCATTTTGCTTATCCTTTCCGCTTTTCCTATAATCATATGCCCTGGTCGGCCTCATTTCCAGCCTTTGCGAGTCAAGCCTGTCTGGGGAATGACCATGGTTATGGCACTACTGGTACCCCCCTCTCCACTCACTCCCGTCCCAGCCATCGCGGGGTAGCCCCATCCCTCGTCCCGGGGTTGGCCGTTACGAGTGACGCCTGCACTACCGGCTTTTGCTCAAGAAACTTCTTATATCCCCATGCTTTGCCTCATTTTCCTGGTTTCGGTCCTACTGTCATCGACCCTCGTCACCAGCCGTTCCATTTTGATAGACTTTCCCCCCCAACTCTTATACTTACACATGCTTGTAAATTAGATGACACTGAGCGACCTTCTGCCACCCCATCCGCTCCCTCGACGCCTCGCAGCCGTAGTCACGCTCGGCCCATAGTTATTGACCTACCTCAACTCAAACGCTTTACTTCAGCTCCTGCTCGCACACCTCCTGAGCCTCTATCTGCACGAGGTGATTTGCCTGGGTAAGATGACTTGGTTCCAATCGAGTGACTAAAATATACTCATACAATGACAGAGGATATTTTCCCCTCCACGAGGATCCCACCAGTCGTGTGCACCGTCCACACCCATTCCAGCATCACCCAGACGCCCGTATGAGCCGTCTCATCTCGGAATCAGGACCAATCTACGCGGACCGTCCCACTTCACACCCTGCTCAAAGTGCACTCATGTCTCAATCAAATACACCAGTTGCTTCATATCTTGCCCCGGGCTTCCATGACAATCCACTTCCCATGGGCAAATACTATCCATCAAATTATGAGAGCAGAAATGGCAATCAGAGCAATATACGGCCTCCCCTAAACGGGACTATGTCATCCAATATTGGGCCTGATTCCCAGACAGTCCCTCGCACAAGTAGCCAGTCAACCCCGGAGACAGAGCTCCGTCGCAAGCTGCAGCAGTATCAACGCGACATGATTGCACAAGCAAGTATGGCTGCCAACGAACTTCTCAGCACTTCGGCCAAGTCGGGCGACAAACCCAGCATATCACTCAACTCTCTACCACTCCGTGACTCGCGCTTCGCTACTGCCGGATCTCACAAACCTATATCACCCAGGCTTCTTCCCTTGGGAAGTCCCGGTCCTGTCACTCCAATGGATCTTGAGTCCATCAGCAGTGGTGATTACTTAAGCCGATAGCGAAATGAGACAATTGGGGAATCGATCTGCCATTATAACAAATATAAACTCGGATTGAGTAAGATTACACATTGGACGGGGATATTGACTTGGTTTTCTTTCACAAAAGGCGTTGGACGGAGACGGACCCCGTGGTGGCCCGCTATCACTCCTGGGTGGCATTGAGCGTGTTATTTAATTGCATCTGGTTCAATAAGATACCGAACGTGTAGTAAAGGCATGATACCCATAGAATACATATCATTTGTAAGGACTTTATGGTGACCTTCCACCTTCTTCAACTGCTATGAATGATACATTGTAAAAGGGATACCGGTCTTGAGCTAAACTCAAAACAAATTTGGCGGCGTGTATATTGCGGCCGATTGACAGAGAATTAGTAGTTCACGAACTGCTTAACTGTTGGTTGGTAAGGGTGAATTTGGTAATTTACGCTTCGTTAAAACTTCTTGTTATCAGACTAAAACATAGTAAGTCTTGTGGTGTTTCAAGTTTCCTCCGTAAGCCATCATAAGCCAATCAGTATAATCACATGTATATTATTTATTCCAGCTTTATTTTTGAGAACGTACTCGACAAGGGCGGCGGAGGAGAGTAGGCGAAGAACAAACAAGAAGAATTACAACGAATAAATGCTTGTAGGGTAGGCAGGCACCACCACAGTCCTCCCAGGCAACCACTTCCAGCGGGGTGAGCACGTGACATTGCGTCGAGTTGGCTTCACTTTAACCCATTCTCCTGTTTCTACGCGTTAACATGACCAGATATCGTGTTTGAGTTGGCAAATGACCATACCAGATTGACTCTTTTGAAATGCTGAGAGAGGATTAATTTGGTGGGTTTGCGACGTCAAGCTCAAATTTCCGCTAAGAGCTATGACTTCCAGCTCAATACCTTTAACCGCCACTGTGGTTGACTTTATCTGCCTGTTCACACACGATTTGAAGAGAAAACAGAAACGTTGGCAGGATGGCGTTCTAAAATACCATACATTCAACAAACGGGTGATGGTATATGATGATCGAAGCCACTTCATTGGCGATGCTCATTGGCAGGGAGGTGGCGATCTCGAGCCTGGTGATGAGTTTGAGCTTGATCGCGGCTCTGCCATCGTGCAGGTTTCAGACTGCACCGGAACGCGAGAACAAGATTTAACAGAATTGTTGGATAAACGCGTGAAAGAAGTCGAAAAGAGGCGATCAAATGCTGAGACAAGGACACCGGGATCGATCGCAGGAATTGCTCAAACCCCGAGAAACGACCAGAATACACCCCATTTCCAACTTCGACACCGTCCGCTCAACGATCTGGTTGGGGGTACAAATAGAATCGGGAGAGCTGTCATATCCCCTCATTCACCGTACCAAGTACGCAAGATGGCCGAGAGCCCTGTTCAGCAGCAAGATTCACCTTCAGAGGACACGCGTCCGTCGAAGAGAAGAAGGCAAGAAGAGTCTCCCCCGAGCAAATTGGGGCATGCTCGTGCCCTCTTCGGGACGACATTGACTTTGACACCTTTTTCGTCTTCAGTCTCGACGTCTCGGAGTCAAGCATTACCTGTTAAGACAACCATGAAACCCAAGAACACTTCAATAAGCACAAGGATTGACCTGCAGGACGTTTCTAAAGGAACTGGTACAAGTACAGAACAAACCTGTTCTTCAGATCCTGAAGAGCCGAAGATTCGTGCCCCTCGTCGGACAGCACCTCGCCGAGTGTTCACACAACGAGCTTCGCTTAGAGAACTACTGGCGGGCAATGAGCAGAACTGGAACGGAGAGCATCCTCGGCCGAGAGAGACTATGCCGAAAAACCGTCCACATGTACCAGAAAAAGCAAGACCCTATTCACCACAAAATCAAGACAATGTTGTTTCACTTCTTACACAAACCGAACAATCGGAGTGTCTTGACAATGCAGGTCAAAACCTCCCACGCTTTGCTAGCACTCGGCAAGAAACTGGAGTCGACAAACCGTCCAAGCCCCCGCCCCCCACAACAGTAAACGAAGACATGGAGAATTCAGGCCGAGGTCGAAAGCAGTCAGCAGGGATCAATGACGACGCGTTTCTCAACTGGCTTGCACAGGGCGAAGGTGCATTAGCTGACCACCGAACGCCAGCATCTCCAACAAATTCCCGCCCCCAACGCTTAATGACGTCGGGGAGTGATAAAAGCACAATTCGTCAAAAGACCGTGGAAGAAATGAATCACACGGTAGTCCAAACCCCAATCCAGATCGATGAGGATGAACAATTTCACCCATGCCAAGTTACCCAGGCACTTTCTCGAAACCCTACTCCCAAACCACCCAGGACGAACCAGGCAACTGCTCTGAAGACTCATAGCACTAAGCGATCATTGAACACCGATAGAGGACCACTTCCACAAACTGGAGTAGCTGAACCTCCGCCTTTAAAGCAACCAAGAACTGAACTTCGTATCAGATCGAGGCAGCGCCGTGGGTTACTTATGGTAGCGCAGAACAAGCAAAGTAAGAGAGCAGAATCATCGGGAAGATCGCTCCCATCTTCGTCAGGAACAGGAAGCGACGTGTACACTGCATCCCGTCCCGCTATTCCTACAATTCCATTGCCAGAGGAATCTGAGATGGCCCACGGCAATGCGAAAGGAATTGACCTACCCTCGCCAGGCTCAGTGGTAGTGGAAAAAGTACTGGATGAAGAGTCGAATAAGGACCCAAAGCCATTGCGAGGTTTGGCAGATAAGAAAATCCAGATTGAGGATCACACTTTGGACGATGCTATTTCGGAGAAAGATAGAACCTCAGTGACACCACCTCGGCGCACAAATCCGAGTCAGCGTACACGAGAAAAAGCAGCTCAAGTTGTGCCCAGTGACAATGAAGATAAAATCGCAGCACGCAACTCCCCCTCAGGAGCTGGATATTCTGATAGCCAAGATGAAAACTCATCAACTGATACCAAGCCTACAGGAGAGCGCCAGCCCACAACCAAACCCAATGCCGAGGCGGAAGCAAGTTCCGGTCCTCAGATCACCAAGATGTTGAGAAAGAGTGTGAAGAGCAAGGAGATAATTGGCTTTACCATACCAGTCGAGGACTTTATGCCTACTAATTTCGGCATTGGTGGTTACGGTCAATCGATAACTGCAACGACTGAAAACATGAACACAACAACCGAGAATGCTTCGCAAGGGAGTTATCTCGCACTCAAGAGACCAGGGAACACCACAATTTCAGCACACCCGCAGGAACCATTACGAGAGTCATTGAGAGACAACCAACCACAAAACAAGCCACTACAAGAAAAACAACATCAGGGAGAACAAACGCAGATAGAACAAACTCCACAACAACCTCACATAAAGCAACTACCGCGTGTATCGAATCCTGCCACCAGAGGTAAGAAGGCTGCTCGGAAACAGGACGCGGCCGGGTTGCCACCACAGATTCTGGTTCAACCAGAGCCTTTCCCAGCTTCGTCTCGCATTGCATCTAGGAATTCACTACAAAGACCGAATCCTGTGAGTGACACAGCCCGATCAGAGCTACCAGGATTTTGCAAGCCGAATGGTGGTGCTTGGAGCAGGCATGCGGAAGATTTACTAGGAATGACAAGACCCTCTAAAGCAGCATCTCGATAATGATTTGACGAAATTCCCCAAGTCTCCGGCTCCTACGAGAAAACCCTTTCCTGACGCATGGGTGATTTGACACGCGCTTCTGCAACTGCTCCTTCACCGAAATCTATGAACTGCAAACAACTTGTTGCGATTGGAATGTGGACAACGAGTGCTGCGGAACCAATAAGGTACGCTTCTGTTTTCTGAGTGAGGGTATGATTGAATAAAGTGCAACCAGTATCTGTACGGCATTATGCGGCTCGCCGATAGAGTCACGTCGGCGTACCTCTTTGGTTTTGGCGAGATTTATCAGCACGATGGAGGGATGGCGTTTCGCAAGGGGCATGGACCCCAGCATTTGAGGTTTGAAGTCGTGAATGCGATTAGGTGTGGAGCCTAGGACAGATCCATACGCGATTCCGTTTGGCCATCATACTATATAAGGGACTTAACCCCCCAACTCGTCCCTCTTCACCAGTTCCAAGGACTGACCTGACGACTCACATGGTGTCGATTGAGTGCTACAACGTCTTTCAAGGCCGAGGTAACTAAGCCTAGCCTTTGTGATACAAGGATTCAAGAAACTCTGACTTTAGGTTTGCACATTATTACGTTTGCCTTTCTTATATTCATATACCTTCCTGCATTTCCGCCATTGGGATCCCGCTAGAGTACCATGGTACGAAGATCGGAGCGACGGTTGACAATAATTTAGACCACCTTGGTTTGATACTGTCCAGCTGAGTAACGATCCTGTCGATATTCTGTTTAACAATGTTATGACTTGAAACGAGTCCGACTCTGAATTTGCGTGGATACCACTATTGCAAGCCTTTTGAGGTAGTGAAAAGACTGATGGAGATTGCTCAACAAAACTAGTTCAAGAGTATCTATGCTGTCAAGCTCTTAGACAGAGCCTATGTTGTCTGACACCCCGCTCTGCTTGAGTGTCGTATCGGGGACCATGAAATCTGGGGTTGTGGAAGGTTGACTCATTCTTAGATGCAGGCTTAAAGCATTGACCAACAAGAATGCTCTTCTCTCGCCGAAGTCTAAGCTTTGATGGTGCAGAATGTGGGCTGATATGGCCAATAGAAGCCTTTATCATTGCGGATCCCTTATAAACTCCGAATTATGATTGGCCTGCACTGCAGCTCTGCCTTATGACGCTATACCTTTTTGAGCACGCCGAAAGACTCAATCTCCTGCTCCTCCCACCTGCTGCGCCATGTTTCCAGTTCCCAGGACATCAGAAAAAAATTGGCCATTAGGAGCATAGAAGACAAAATTAGCAAGTCAACATATTCCGTTTAGATCAACCTTCTTAATCTATTTATTCTTACCCCCTCAAGTTTACCGGACAACTTTTCTTTTACCCACTAGCCAGTGCATCTTCAAACCTGGCAGTGAAATACTTCGACGACGCCCTCTCCGTGGCCTCAGGCCTTTTCTCTTATTCTTCTTACTTCCCTCTCTTGCCTTCACAATCACGGCTCATTCTTCATTTGGTAAAGAGTATCTTGAATCGTACCAGTGATTCGTCTACTTTTGCCTTGTATTTGTTGTATCCCTATACGAAGAACACTACAACAAATCTGGCGACAAGCTCGGTATTTCAAGGCTTTGCCTATTTCCCCATCTCATGCTCCATCCCGAGTGGCCTCGAAACACCATAACCTTTGTTTATTCTAGCTCAACAAACACAAATTGCTGCAGCGACGCAAGTTACCATAACTTTGCCATTTCACCTTGGTACTTGCCGACAAGTAATCGCCCCACGTGAGAGTAAGCACGCCGGAGTAAGCAACACTCCGAGTTACACATGCTTGTGTACGGGTTAACTAACAAAGACGCATAGAGCGCGACTCCGCACCGTTTTCCAAGATTCTGTCCTTCCAAGCCAATAACGGAACTTCAAAGCTTGCAATGGCGACTAATTCGAACACTCTCCCTCAAGGGTTCTCTGTTTTTCAACCCGCTCTTGGCGCTCAGCTCCAGTTCTTCCCTGCCATCGGAACCCGGGAGCTCGACGAGCTGGTGAATGCTTACATCCCTGGCCCTGCTTCCACGCAGGAGAAACGTGCCACCGTCTCTCTCGACTACTTTGAGTATGCGCACCTGACTGGACAGACATTCAAGTTCTATCCCGTTTACACACTTTCCGCTTCTGTTGAATCTCCTGCTGGTGCTAGCCCTCTCCAGGACTCTGGTTATGGATCCTTCAACACTAGCCCCGTTACATCCAACTGGGACTGGAGCCATGTGAATACCAGTTCCTCCCGCCGCTCATCTCCCAAGTCCACCGCTAGCCAGCAGCCCGCTGATTTCTCCAACCTGCCTGGAATGAAGATCATGACTAAGGATGGCCGCGATGTGACCAACTCTGCCTCCCGAGGATCCAAGACAAAGGAGCAGAGAGATCACGCACACCTCATGCGAATCATCAAGGCCTGCGAAAGCTGCAAGAAAAAGAAGATCCGCTGCGACCCCAGCCACAAGAAGCGTGGCGTTACCAGCACCGTTGCTCAACCTGCAAAGGTCACCAAGAAGACGAAGACAGTGGCCCCAGAACCAAAGGTTTCTGTCGTTGCCCAGGATGCTTTTGCCGGCCAAATGACAACCCCAGAGCCCGAATTTTCGGTAAATCTCGACAACCTGATTGCCTCAGTCGAGCCAGAAAGCGACGCATGGGAGCAGTTCATTCAATACCCTGCTGCCGATGACAGTTATGACTTCTTCAACGATCCAGAGGGCTACTTCTGCCCGCAGTCCTCCTCCTCCTCTATATCGGACTACTCTACAAAGCCCGATACCCCGACAACAGGAGAGGACCTTCTTCGTCGCCCTCGTGGCACGGCCGATGTAGACATTGGAGACCTGGGTGATTCTGCGGCGCATCTGCCATTCAACCAAGTCGATGTCGATCACGACTATGTGGACTTCAATCTTTACTCTCCCGAATCATTCTTCTCGGAAGATGAACGTATGGTCCCGGTTCAAGTCTCTAAGCAGTCGGTTAGTCGGCCGAAATCACCAGCACCGAACCCGCTACCGCCACGGGACTTCTCGAATGATTTGAGTAGTTGTGGTGACGAGCTAGGTGACGACCAGCTTACTCACATCCTCCTCGAAGGACAGCTTGCTGTTCCCACTTCCGCACCTCAGCATTTCTTTACTAATAGCCAGGTCGGCCGCGAAGACGTCTATGGCGATTCTGGAGCTGGCTTGGAGTATCGCCTTGCCGTCGCGCCAACCGCAAGTCTCGGCTCGGACCTTCTGGGCAAGAGTACTTTATCACAGCATAGCTCGCCAGTCGTTGCATCCACCGCCCAATCCACTGTGAATACTGTGCTATCTACGAATAGTAACGTACGTGCCTCACTTACATATCCATTCCATTCAGAACAGCAACTAACTTGGGAAAAGGTGACAATCAGTCGCGATATTATCGAGGCCCGCGGAATGACGACAACAGGATCATCAGATCACCTACTATCAGAGAATGCAACAACACAAGCAGCTCCTCGCTCAACGGAGATTGTGGCTACACAACAGAACTCCCAAACACTTGCAGCGACGGCCGCACAAGCAGATTCCCAGTTGAGCGAGATTGCTCACACTCTTCCAGTTTGCCAAGCGACAGAGACCGGATCTACAGCTACACGATCAGATCATCACGATGTCATTGCCGAAAGCGAACTCAAGCAATCAGATTCTCGCGATGCAGAGATTCACAATGTGGTGGGAGATATATCCCAACCTTCTCCCACGTCCGCTGCGGTTGATCCTGCGTTGTACTGCCCGACATCGATGATTCGCCAACCAGGCCTGGAGACTCTTGCACCCCTTATGGTGGTGTTGATCGCCTCGGCCGCCTGGTCCTTTGTCTACCAGATGTTTGTTAACAGAGACGAATGCTGCGGGTACTGGGCACGCTCTTCTGCACACAGCCAGAGGAAGGTCTACCAGATGACATCGAAAATTGGAAGGGTTGCCACCAAGCTACAGAGCACGGTTTTGAATAGCACGACACCAGTTGGTCGGATGGTATCGATGGGCAGGACCCTCGTCGCTGTGTAACGGCTTATCCTTGGGGCACAACAGGCGGAGTAGATGGAGTGACCGTAGTCCCATGATCGAAGTCACCATAGTGCTTGCACTTTCCCTTGATTATGATCTGATTTTTTAGCATTGAGAGCGAAAGACTGCGTATTTGCGTTGATCCTACTAAGATAGAGCCTTTGCGATAGAGCGAGCATCGGACTGAGTGGGAAAATAATTGAACTGACTTCTAAGTCCTCTTGATCTTTGAGCTATGGTGCATTCCAGCAATTTGACCCCTGAGACCCCTGATAAACTAAACGTATTATTGTCTAGACTACATTACAATGTGTAGAAATCGGGATCAGGAACTGTCGGTGTTATGCTTTTTTATTTATTTATGTAACGTGTTTTGGTGGTGTGCCGCGTGTGAAGTTTACATTGGACTCCCTTCAAGACCGGCAGGAGAAGCGATGCCACTGAATTATTGTTCAATCTAAGCAGACGGATCGCATAAAACCAACACTGGTCCGGTGTTTAATAGAAGTATTCAGTCAGCTTTAGTGAGTATATAGCCCAAGAGAGCACTAATACTTTTGTCTGACCTTGGTACCTATTCTTTGGCGACCTCTATGCCTGCTCGGGTATTAAGCGATACTGTGTCCACAGTAAGTCGCAAGCCCAGTCCGTGCACTGACACCTGTGTGGTCTGTTAGTGCATGTTAGACAGTTTCCTACAACTCGCGTTCCGTTAACTCCTACTCTTGGGGCGGGGCATCCGTTATAGACGGCCATCTAAATATGGCTTAGTGCACAGGAGCAAGTCGTGAAATCTTCTCTCAAAGGCGAGGTAGGACATGCGCATCTAGAACTCTTCTTCCTAAACTCTAGTGATTGTGGTGAGTCTCTGATTCTCGAAAGCTAAAAATTGGCCGCTGGACCTCTAATTTTGAGTTAGTCATTCCTTGACGTTTTCTTGTCAATTAGGGCGACTATTGATTGATCCGATCTCTTCATATACCTTCGAACTCACTCACACGCCTGTTGAGTTGGGGAAAGAATCCTGCGAGCCCATGAAAAATTGTCAAAGCTACGAGAAATTTACATTTACTGGGCATCCGGATCTTCTACTCAATTTAGGATTTAATCAGCCTGGTGGAAGTCGTTGAAAAAGATTAGCCTCTAAATTATTGTTTGCCTACTCAGCTTATTGCTTAACTCCAGTGATTGGACGAAGCGATAAGTCAACCAACAACCAGCTCGTCTTTGTCCCGATCAATAAGCTACACTTATTCACTACTATTGCTCTTGGAAAGGCGCTTATCATCTTGTCGTCTGGTTCACCAATACGACAAAGACGTATCACCTGCGCGTTGATAGGGCCCAGGATATATTGTTCAAGGAGCAGCATAGGGCGCGACATAAAGGAGACTTAAGCTTTTAGCGGTGACTTCTGTATGTATATAAGAACATACTAAGGACACGAAGAAGCATACCTACTGAGAAAGGAGTCGTCGGAAAGAAAGAGGGACACTAAACTGAACTGGAAAGAGTGAAGTGAGGGTATACAAAGTCTCAAAGGTTAGGTACTAATCTTATTACCCAACCCCTTAGTACCTAATACCTCTTAGAGCAGACAGGATGGGAGTTTTCCAGTCACTTGGCCTTTCGCCAGCCAAGAAAGCAGGTGCAAAAGCTATACGCCGTCTCTTTGGTCGAGTGATGCCTGGCGAGGGTGATAGCGTCACTGCCAGTGCCAGCGCAAGTGCCAGCGACACTGACCAAACTGGCAAGGGTAACGCCAGCAACGGAAGCAACCATCGCCAGGAAATTTCCAAAGATAACAACGAGCCTCAGCAAAAAAGAAACCCCGACTCTGCATCGTCGCCTACTGCCCCGAAAAGTCAAACAAATACGACCACAACAGATTATCCCCAACAACAGGAAAATCTTCAAACAGCCACGACACATGCTGCTAATAGCAGTATGCAATCTCTCCAGAATCGACCTACCCAGTATGGGGATGCAGATAAAGAGAACCAGCCCCCCGGCGTATCTCAGCTGTCTGTGTCTCTTGCCCGCCTGGAGCTTCAAGATGACAAATCCATCTCGACTTCTCCCAAGCCGTTCACACCGGTCATCCCTTCCGCACCGATATTCACAGACCCTGCTGTGGTAGCTGAGCGAGCGATGCACATGAAGTTTACTGAAGCAGCCCTTGATATGGTAAGCCTCCTAGCCTCCCCTTTAGGCCCGTTTTCTTCCTCACACTTGGCCCGTTAAAACTCACACAACGTCTGCAGGCACGGCTCGCTCTCCAAACCAACGAAACCCCTGTTGGATGCGTTCTTGTTCACGATGGACGGATTATTGCCCGGGGCATGAATGCGACTAATGTCACTCGAAACGGCACTCGTCATGCCGAGTTCATGGCGCTCGGTGCTTTGCTATCTTACCCCCCAAAGGACGGACCAAGAACGACGTATCTGAAGCCCAAAGCTGAGAACCAGTCCGAGGCGGCTTCTGAGACATCTTCCATTGATTCGGGACCTCCAGATGAAGGCAATGAGGATGGAGCCAAGGGACATCTTTACCCCTACGGACAAAAGTGCCATCCTGATGCGCGAGTAGACAGATCGATCATCAGAGAAAGCATCTTGTACGTCACGGTTGAGCCGTGTGTTATGTGTGCTTCTCTATTGCGCCAGCTCGGCATTAAAAAGGTCTACTTCGGCGCTGTCAACGACAAGTTTGGCGGAACCGGTGGTGTCTTCAGCATCCATGCGAACTCCCTTCCCGTCAGTGCCGATGGGCAGACTGCCAGTGCCCACCCCACCCCGAAACCTGCGCAGCTTCCAGACGGCAGTGGCACTTTGGGTGTCTCATATCCTCCAGGCGGGGGTGATGGCGGAAACATTGAACCTGGTTATGAGATTGAGGGTGGCTGGGGCCGTGATGAAGCTGTTGGCCTACTCCGGCGCTTCTATGTTCAGGAGAATGGACGAGGTAAGTTGCCCATCATCCCGTTTGTCTGTTATCATTCGTTGACTCAGCAGCCCCTGTACCTCGCAAGAAGGAAGGTCGCGCAGCTCGACTGGCCGCTATGCTGGAAGGCGAGGGTAATGAAGAAGAGACTCTAACCCCTGATAATACAACACCGGTGCCAGAGGCTGATTGCGCCGATCTCCCTACTTCCACAGAAACCGTCAAGGAACAGGCCGAGCCGCTGGCAGATCGCACCAATGTCTAGAAGAGCACGGCTGCCGACTCGCGAGAGGGCCACGAGCAACACAACAAATAACGGAGACATTAAACAAGACAGTAAAGAGCACGTCCCATTTAAGCACGTCGTTGATAACTTGAGATGATGCACGTTTTGCATGTGCGAAACTGGCTATTTGATGGACATGATGCAAGCATCTGCTGCATGAAACATGCCTGTTCTGGACTGAACATGTCCAAATATTGCAGTATGATTTGAGCTAAAGCGAGGCATAATGTAAAAAGATGCATTGTATTCAAAATGTCATTATTAGAGATTCTCCCTCAGCTTGCTTGATTTTGGCATGCTACCACGCAAGTAGTGGACTGAGTAACTGTACGGTAAAAAATTAGGTGATGGAGAAAAGGCCTATGTAGTGAAAAACAAGGTCCATAATGGCTTGCAGCATGACAATTATAGAGTGAGACTGTTGAAGAGTTCATGGTACTTCACAATCCAGATGGAATAACTACCTCTGTCAGAGGGCGGAAAGAACGTGGTAACATGAGTAGGGCCTTCTGGGCCATTATGAGAACAACAATAATAATATCAACTTGAGTTAAGGTAGTTTAGGGGGTATCTCTATTTGTTTAGCTAATATATCACGGCGGCGTAGGGGCCTTTGAGTTTCCAGAAGCAAACGTTCTGCTGATGGCTAGACCAGTTGCAGGATAGGACACGATCTTGTCATGTACCCCATACTTCAGGATCTCTAGTCGTATGTCACCTTTCCTGGTGGCACAGACAGTTACTGAACCACCTTCTCCACGGCTTTGCTCGTAGACATCTCGGACAAGAACAAGGCTGATGGCCTTGTTAAGCTAGCGGCTCTCCTTCAAGTCGTGTGGTTCACCTTGCAGTGCATCACCCGTGCCGTACATCACCTTCCTTTGGCGACTCTAGAAACGACGACTCTGGCGTATGTGTTCAACGCACTAGTGACCTACGCTCTTTGATGGGAGAAGCCAAAAGATATTGTTCCTGCATCTTTCGTTGACTGGCCACAAACGACGTCCGCCCAGTTGGCAAAATTTGAAAGTCTAGCGATGGAGAACACATACGATGTCTCTCGACCAGACCAGAAGCAGAGCGATTCTATTGCCTGGTATGTCGTCCCTCGCGACTGTCGAGATGATGAAGTGGGAGTGATGGAGGAACAAGAACAATATCTGGAAGAAAGTTTTTTTTTGAGCGAGTCTGGCAGACACAAGGTTGAGCCAACCGTCACGTTAACTGAGGAAGGCGCAAGTGTTATCACAGAATGGGACGCAAATCTGTACATGACTAGATACTGGCCGCTCCTATGTCTACTTGGGGCATCGTTTGGAGCTATTCATCTAGTTTCGTGGGCAGGATCTTTCCCTTCTCAAACAGAACGATGGCTGTAGCAGATCAGCGCTCTTATATCTTTCAGAACATCTGTTCTCTGTATGCAGTTCAGAAAGATGAGTCTCAGGTGGGAGGGGATACTGACTATCGTCAAGGTTGGAAGCCCGTTGTTGTATCTTGTGAGTAGAGTCGTAATGGCAGTAGAAGCATTCGCGGGTTTGAGAGCTATGGAGCCAGCGACGCACGAGACTTATGCACTTACGAATTACTGGTTTCATCTTATATAGTAGGTAGACATTGGCGGATTACATAAAGAAGTTTGGGCTGACAAATGCTAGCCTTGAATATATACTATTGATACAGATCTTACAGTTACATACGACCAAAGGTAGTGGAAAATACGGGATCCCGTCCGCTCTCCCATAGTCAAGCCACTAACCGGCGGATTAGTAGTTGGGTCGGTGACGACCAGCGAATCCCCGCTGTTGTATGTTTTTTTTTCTTTTAAACACTCACTCTTCTCGGTTTTATAACTCATCGCTCTTCTTTTGCGTCCCCTACTGTGTCTCGCCTACCTAGTATATGACTTGATGTATTGCTAAATAACCAGAATGCATGTTTATATAGGGCCTTTTTTGCAATTCGATCTTCTTCGTTGTTAACGTTGAAGATTATGTCACCTTGGTAGATATGTTTCGTAACCAATAACGTTATCTACCATCCTAACGTTACGCAGTAACCGTTGGCAACTTGATATAGCCAACTATACCTAATATCATCCCAAGGATGGTTTAAAAAACATTTCACTATCTTAAGACGTCAGCACGGAACTGCCCACCAAAGCGAAGTCATGACCATGGACAAACACAATCGGCGCAATGTACTAGTCTCCGGCGCAAATGGTTACATCGGGTTGGCCGTTTGTCGAGCATTTGTCCGTGCTGGCTGGAACACCTATGGCCTCATCCGGAACCCCAGAGTAAAAGAGGAACTTGCCCTCTCTGAGATTATCCCAGTTGTTGGGTCCTTTGCCGACCTTAGCTTTCTGGGTCCTCTTTTCGAACTAGTCAAGACTTTCGATGTGATTGTCAGTTGTACAGAGAAGATCCCCGGTTATGCTACTCATTTCGAAGAAGTCATTGCATGTGTTGAGATACTGGCGAGGCGAAGTAACAGCGAAGGGGTACGGCCTCTCGTGCTGTGGTCATCGGGCTGTAAAGATTATGGCACCACGTCCCTCCACGATGCACCTAATCTGGCTGCTCATGTCGAAGATTCGCCGCTAAATGGACAAGAAATACTGAAAGAGCGTACCATCAACTCAGTCAAGGTCTTCTACTATACCGATCTCTTCGACGCAGCGGTTGTGCGGCCAACATGTGTTTTTGGTTATTCCAGCAGCTATTACGGTGCCATCTTTGACTATGCAGATGCACAGCGAGCAGCTCACTCCCAAGTGCTTCGAATCCCTGGAGATGCGAACAGCATCATGCATGCAACACATGTGGATGATTGCGGCGACGCCTATGTGTCACTCGCGGAGCACAAGGAGCGGGGCGCCGTTGCTGGTCAGTCTTTCAATATCTCTGGCCATCGCTACGAAACGTTGGATGAGATCGCAACATCCGTGGCCAAAGAGTATGGGTTTGAGAAGGGTGTGCGATTCGTGCCGACTAGCGAAGTTGACCCTTCGTTTCCTCAGGGGCTGCATTTTGTCTTTAGCTTTAGTCAATGGGTCAGAAGTGACAAGTTACGGTCGCTCACAGGATGGAAGGACAGGCGCGCTTTGTTCTCGGAAGGGATACATGCACATAGGCTGGCGTATGAAGCGTTCAGAGGTCATGGGCATGCCAACGTTGCTGAGGTACAAAAAAGGATTGAAAGTATTCTGACACAATAGAATCAATGGCGGTCGATTGCTGTCCCTTTGTTAGGTTGACAAGCAAAACAACAAGATATGGTTCGGCTCAAAGCGACTAGACTAGTGTCAAGTTGAATTGCCGGATACAGCGGCTGAAGACCAACTTAGACTACCTAGGTACTTTAGTGTACATACAGTACGTTAGTGACTTTGCAGCGATTCGGCAGTGGTTGTCAGCTCGACTGCCTCCTTGCCTATCAATCCAATGCACCAACAATCAAAGTTTGGTCTAGAGCGGTGCCGAAATTAAGACAAATTAATCGAATCGAACTTGCCGAGTCTCACCCCACCCCACAATGACTTCAGCGCCAGCCATGGAATGTGTGTGAGAGAGGGAGCATCAACAACACATGAACGAACGCATCCGTGGAAGCCGAGGCAACGCTGAACTGGAAGTCTTGTTGACCGTCGATTTGGTACAAGGCGCGGCCATTCTGCAACTTGCACTGTAATTGACCATCGATTCGACATGGCGCTCAATCGCATCAAGTCCCGTGGGCGAGGGCACCTCGTAATTGACGACTACGACGCCAACAATGGACCCTCGAGCAATGTCATTGACGATGGACGCGTTGAAGTTCAGTTTCACGACAACCCTCAAGCGCTGGCCGTTTGGTGCCAGCATTTTAAAGACTCATTCGCAGGCGATACATCATCTTCGGAGCGACTACAGCCCCCCGAGCCTCGTCGAACGAATAGTATCGCGTTTGTACCCGGTGTAGAGAAGCCAGATGAGGGTCCGCGCCTCCATATCGCGATACATATCGTGGGATCGCGCGGTGATGTTCAACCGTTCATACCTATTGCACAACTTCTTATGAAACCACCCTATGGTCACCGAGTACGGATATGCACGCATGCCGCTTTTAAGGAGTTTGTTGAAGCTCAAGGTATAGAGTTCTTCAACATTGGTGGTGATCCCGAGGCCCTGATGGCATACATGGTCAAGAACCCTGGGTTATTACCAAACCGCGACAGCCTCAAAGGGGGAGAGGTCGGGAAGAGACGAAAAGAGATGGCAGAGATCATTTCTGGTACCTGGAGAAGCTGCATCGAAGCTGGCGATGGAATGGGAGAGCCCATAAAAGCTGCTAATGTAGAGTCTGCCGATGATCTGTTCCTGGCCGACGTTATTATTGCTAACCCCCCATCTATGGGCCATATACACTGCGCTCAGAAACTCAGCATTCCCCTGCATATGGTCTTTACAATGCCGTGGTCACCAACTAAATCCTTTCCCCATCCACTGGCTTCAATGAGCTATGGTGATGCCGATGCCAAGGTCGCTAACTATTTGTCCTTCATGATGATGGAATTGCTAACATGGCAAGGGTGAGTAACATACCCGTTCCCGATCGTTCTCGACTCACATGTTCTAGCCTAGGGGACTTGATAAACAAATTTCGTACGCAAACGCTGCATCTTGATCCCGTCAGCCCGCTCTGGGGCTTTCAACTCCTTTCCAGGCTTCGTATTCCGTTCAGTTATCTCTGGTCAGAGACGTTGATACCCAAACCATCTGACTGGGACGACCACCTGAACATTACAGGCTTCTCTTTCCTACCACTTGCCAGCTCTTACACGCCTCCTACAGACCTTGTAAACTTCCTTAACAATGGGCCAACACCAATTTACATTGGGTTTGGATCTATCGTCGTGGACGACCCCCAAGCACTCACGACTATGATCTATGAAGCTATCAAGATTGCCGGCATTCGAGCCATTGTTTCGAAAGGATGGGGGGGTGTTGGTGCTGGAGAAGTCCCCGATAGCGTTTATCTCATTGGAAACTGTCCTCACGACTGGCTGTTCCAGCATGTTGCAGCTGTTGTCCACCATGGCGGTGCTGGCACGACAGCTGCCGGCATAGCGGCTGGTCGACCGACTGTCGTTGTTCCGTTCTTTGGAGACCAGCCCTTCTGGGGTCAGATGATGGCTCGTGCAGGTGCGGGACCAGTAGCAGTTCCATACAAAGATCTCACAGCAGAGATACTGGCCGAGAGTATCACATTTGCCCTTCAACCGCATGTCGTAGCGGTAGCGAAGGAAATGGCGCTGCAGATTGGGGAAGAGGATGGGTCTGGTGGCGCAGCTATGGACATACAGGAGCGTCTGGACATTGATAGCCTCCGTTGCGACCTGAGTCCGGGCAGACTTGCCAGCTGGCTCCATCGTCAGACAGGGGCTCATCTGAGCGGCTTTGCTGTCGGCTGTCTCAGAGATCATGGGTTGATTGAGATGTCAGACATCAAGTTGCTCCGACATAAACACTGGTATGTGGACGAAGGAGCTGAATCTCCCGCTATCGGTGCCATAGCTGCTGTGTCAGGCTTTGCAGCAGCCATAGGCACAGCGACGTCTGACTACAGTGAACGTTTGAGGAACTCTCCGCACTCTAAGACGACAAGGCGCCGTAGCAGCATAGGTTTGCCAAGGGTCCCGGCGGCAGAATATAACACTGTTGATGCCTATTCGCAGTCTCAAAAGGGACCACGAGACGTAAGTCAAGCAGATATGGAAGCACTCGCTCAGAAGATGGCAAGCAAGACACTTTACGGTGCCGAACCGGCTTTCTCAGCTGCACGGTTATGTCGCCCAATCAACGAGGCTCACCAGGGGCGCAAGAAATCATGGAAAGCTCGCGAGAGCGGCAGAAATGGACACGTCTTCTATATCACACGTGTGACAGGCAAATACGCTTGTGATCTTGCTGCGGCGACTGCCAGAGCGCCCGTTGCTTTCTTCTACAATGTTGCCAACGGCTTTCACAACGCACCATCAAACGTCTTTGATGTTGATGTTCGCCGCCGAGACGAAATAACAGGGCTGGGGAGCGGCGTCAAAACCGCAGGGAAGGAATTCTGTTATGGGATCTGGGATGCCTTTAGTGGCATAGTCGTCAAACCATATGAAGACACAAAGAATATGGGCGCCAAGGGTCTTGGAAGAGGCCTGTTGAGAGGCGGCCTTGGTATAATAGGCAATTTGGGCTCTGGTAAGTTATCTCATGTTAAAGATATACTCGTACTGACAAAGACATAGCATGTTTCGGGCTCCCAGGATATACCTTGAAAGGGCTAGAGAAAGAGTTGATGAAACGTTATATGACAAGCCTAAAGGCAGAGATATTATTAATCCGACTTCGGCAAGGTATAGAGGATTGGAGGAAGGCTGCAGAGAGTGAAAAGGAGGAAATAGTCAGGAGGTGGAAAATATTAATATTATAATAAGTCTTATAAGTATAATTTAGCTAGTGCTTTTCTATCTTAAAAAGTTAATATAATTTTAGATTATAGTAATTTTCCTAGTAAATACCTAATATTTTAATAATACAGCTAAATAATAAAAATATTAATAAGACTATAAGGCTTTATAATATAAGATTTTAATAAAAACTTATTATTAAAATAAATCTATAATAATATAATAATCTTTTTTTACTTTTATTTATTAAAATAATTAGCTAAAATAATAAATTAATAGATAAGTAAATAATTATATAAATTAATAATCCTCAGTTTAAAATATAGTTTAAAATTTTAATATCTTAGTATAAGTTTAGTAATAAAACTTTAAGATAATATATTATATAACTAGATTAATTCCTATAGAGCTTTTACCTCTAGGTTAGCCTATATTTTAACTTTCTATACCTCCGAGAGAATCCTATCAACCTTTAGTTAACCCTATATATAGCTTCTATTACTTATAAGGTCTTCTTTATAAATACCCTTATTACTTTAGCCTAGGCTACTTATAACCTAAGGCATTAATACTAGGCCTTATGCCTATAGTTTAATTTAACTTCCTTAAGGAAGGTAATTTTATTATAATATATTTTATTAGGCCTTCTTATAAGCCTTTTCTTAAGGTCCCTTAAATGCTTGAGCTCCTACTTAAGCCATATTACTATCTGGCCTAGCTTATAGGTCTAAAAATGCATTATAGAGAGCAAGAGGAGGTTATAGCTAAAGGCAATTAGCCTAATAAGGCTATAGTTATTATTATTATACTAGGCCTCTTAGAGGCACCTAGCCTTATGCCTTAGCTACTTTAAGTCCTTACTATTATTATTAAGTAAGATAATATTAATAATATCCTTTTCGCTAAAAAAATAGCTATTAGAATAATTAAAAATACTACTGTAAAGGCTTCTTTTTCCAGAAATAGGCGGTATAGTGCTATATTAGTTAGCTATATAATGCAGCTAGTAGCAGATAGACCAGGGATTTACTGACTGCCTTAGTATTTAGATAAGTAATTATTTAGAGGTACTCAGTGGTAGGTTGTCGGAGGAAGAAGCTACTATGTATATAGAGGCTTCTTTTATTGTCTTATTGGGAAAGTTAGATATTGAGAGAAACTTAGGTTTAATATATTAGGTTTTTAATCTGCATAGATCCTTTAGTTTAAAATTTATAAGAGAACTTTAAGAAGACTTAGGCTCGGCGTAGAGCATAGAGTAAAAAAAAATAAAAAATAAAAAAAATAAAATAAAAAACTTAATTTTATTAAAATAAATAAAAAGAATATTATACTATTATTAATTTATTATAGAATTAATTTAATATAAGGTTTTTATTAAAATCTTATATTATAAAGCCTTATAGTCTTATTAATATTCTTATTATTTACCTTTATTACTAAAATCTTAGGTTTTTACTAGAAAGTTATTATAATCTAAAATTATATTAACTTTCTAAGATTATAGTTAAATAAAAGCCTCTTAATAATTATTTAACTTAGAATAGCTTAAACTCCTAAACTATAGAGGTAATTATATTAAGATCTATAACATAGCTACTAAAAAAAAAGAATACTATATTATAAGGTTAAAGGTATTAATAATAAGTGTTTTATAGAGGTATTATAATTAAAAAGTAATAAAGGCTAACAGTCCGAAAGGAGCTGCCTGCTTAATAGTAATAGTATTTAATGTAAGGCATTAAGGTTCTCTTTTTCCTAGATTATCTATTAATGTTAAGTATTTAATTTAAATAAAAAAAAGATTTAAACCTGATAACTAAACTATATTAATATAATATTTATTATACTAGTATATTACTTATTAACTTTACTATACTATAATTATTACTATTAAAAGGTTAATTAGTATATCTTTATAGTATATTTTTAATACTTGTTAATTTAAAGATTAGTTTATTTTTATTATATCAATTATAATTTATATAAGTAAAGGTATTAAGTCTATTACTAATAGGGTTGATTATTACCTTATAAGATAAACTATTAGTCTATTTATAATATGGCTAGTACTATTCTGTCTTAAAAAGTCAATATAACTTCAGATTATAATAACTTTCTAAGTAAAAACCTAAGATTTTAATAATAAAGGTATATAATAAAAATATCAGTATAACTATAAGGCTTTATAATATAAGATTTCAGTAAAAACTCTATATTAGAATAAATGCATAATAAATCCGCAATAATGCAGTATTCTTTCTTCACCTTAGTCCGATAAGATAACCAGCTACAACGTTAAATAAGCAGTTAAGCAAGTTATCCTGCGTTTAATATACGGTGTACCAAGCTAACCTTGATCATAGCCAAGATGTCGTTGCGTTGCACCATTGAATTATACGATTGCCTTGACCGACAAGGCCGCGGCCACGAACCGATTACCGAGGCCCTCGACCGCGCAAGCAAGATTAGTCTATTTATAATTAGCTTTTTATCACATAGGTAGTTAAGTAAAATAATATACATATTTTTTTAGGTTTTAATGGTTAATATTAATAATTTCCTTATTTTTATTATTTTATATAAAATAGAAAGGAAATAATTATTATTATTTTAAAGCTTATATTTTAATGGGAGGTTTTAATTTAATATTGAACCTTATAATACAATTAGTACTATTATAATTTATATACTATTAAGCTATTAGATTTACTATTAAGTTATAATAGTTAGGTTTTTTAAGTAATAAACTAATCTATTCTCAGTTTATATTAATAGATTTATAAGGCATATAGATAGTATTAAGCAGTTATAAAATATTATATCCCCAGTTAAAGATACAGTTAAAGACAATTTATTACTCTCTAGTAGGGTAAAATAAGAAAACAGGTCTGCATATAATCCAGATTAATTGCATAAATCCTTTGGATTTAGCCCTGCTTGAATTTAATATTATTTATTACCCTACTAGAACCCTTATTTCCTAGTTACCTATATATATTGTACCTATTCTCACTGTCTAATATTAATAACCTCGACCCTTCGGTTAAAGATATCTATAGTATAAGTAACCTGCCTCGCTAGGCAGATCGGCTACTATTTAATATACCCTGTATCTATAGCTGCAAGGAAAACTTCCTCCTTAATATCCTATTTCTTACCTAACTCTAGCTTTTTATATAACTTTATGAATATATTAAACTCTTTAAAGAGATAACCTCTCTTATCCTCTTTGTCTTTATTAAGCTCTTAATTTAACTTTTCCTTTTTTAATAATAAAAGTAAAAGAATTTAATAATTAAAGACAATTAGCCGAATAGTATTATTGCAGTTAGAACGATTAAAATCCTAGGCTATTAGAAAGGCCTTTTTTATTAAACTAGAATCCCTTAATAGTAATATAAAGGTGGTCTTAATAGTGTTAAATATAAGATTATAATTATTTTTACTTTTATAGTACTAATATTTCTCTAGATTATATTAATATTAATAGATCTTAATAAATTAATAACTATAAGAGGAAGAAATAATAACTATATATCTAGCTGAGAAACTTTTTTATAAAACCCTTATTATAAATTTTAGTTAATACTCTAATCGATATATATATTCTTGATACGAAAGTAAATTGTTAAGAGAGTCTTAATCTAATATAATATATTTTAATCTATATAGATATTTCATTAAATATTAGAGTTAACAGAGGCTTACAATTATACCTACTAGTAAGTTATAGAAATAAATAAATGGAAAGATATAGCTAGTGCTATTCTATTTTAAAGAATTAATATGATTTCAGATTATAGTAACTTTCCTAGTAAAAACCTAAGATTTTAATAATAAAGGTAAGTGATAAAAATATTAATAAGGCTATACAGTCTAACTACTTATATAATAGTTATAGTATACTTTAATTACCAATTAAGTAGCTTTTCTGTATAGTTTTAGTAATTTATATATTAAATATATTAGCATATAAACTTACTAATAAGAAATGTTAATTAAATTAAAATAAGCATGCTATTAGAAAGAAATTAATCTATCCTTAGGCTAAGTCTTCCTATATTTATAATACAATATATACTTAATTCTTAAAGATTACTAATTTATAGAGATAATAATATTAGGTAAAAGTAAAAAGTAAATATTTAATTTAATATATATTAAATTCAATAGATAAATTAAAAAAGCAAAAACGATGAAAGGGCTGCTTTAGAGTTAATTATATTAGATAGTATTCTCTAATATTAGTTTACTATTATAAAATAGCTTACTTTTAAATTTCTTAGTCTATGTTTATATATTAATTCTGGTTTAATTTCTAATACTACTAATAAAAGTTCTTTCGCAATTACTAGGTATAAAGTAGGTTTTTTAATAAATTCCTATATATTTTTATACTCTTGTTAGTTCTTTGTTATATTAAATATGTTATTTATTTTACTAATCTTTTATATGTCCCTAATTATTTTTACTTGATAAGTTATTAATCTATTAATTTCTTCCAGTTTATTATTAGTTTAACTTAAGTAGAGCTAACAATTAGTTTAAAAAGTAAAATATTAAACATTAAATAAAGTTTAATTCTTATTAGTAGTTTTATTTTATAGTTATCTTTCTTATATTATTATTTAATTCTATATAATCTATAATACTTATAATCTAATATGAATAATAGCCATTTAATTATAATACTTCTTATAAATAAATAAACTATATTTCCTTACTTAAAGGTCTATCTTTAACCTTTTTAGTATTATAATGTTAAAAGTAGACTTAATAGTTAATAGTACTATTACTTAGTTACTTTATTTATATTTAATATAGTATTTTAAGTATTATTCTAGTATTGAAATTTATATTTAATTAAATTATTCAATTATAATAGAATATAATAAATATTATATAGTTTATTCCTTGCAAAGTAGTTA